GGAAAGGAAAAAGAGTCTTTCATTAGAGGTAGAGTGGTACGAGACACCCCGCCCCCGAGATTGACCGGGGAAGCAATTTTTAACCGGATTCGACGTATTCCTACGGTTATGCAAGAACCAAATAAGAAGCCATATGAGTTTTGTGATACCCATAAGTGGACAAAGAGGAGTATCTTTTGGGAGTTACCATATTGGAAAGACCTTCTCATTCGTCACAATATAGATGTCATGCACACTGAGAAGAACGTGTTTGACAATATATTTAACACAGTGATGGATTTCAAAGGTAAAATTAAAGACGGTCTTTCATCTCGAAAAGATATGACTATTTGGTGTGATAGGCCCGAACTATCTGTTGATCTAGAATATCAGGGTAATAATATTCCAAAAGCAGTCTACCAAGTCACACAAGCACAAAAAGAATCAATATTACAATGGCTTGTGTCTCTGAAGTTTCCAGATTGCTACTGCTTCAACTTGTCCTGATGTGTGGACATGGACAAACTTGCAACGACGTCGAGCATGAAAAATCACGATTGTCATCTAATCATGCAAAGACTTCTCCCAATTGCACTGAAAGAGATGCTTCCTGAACACATATGATCTTGCATAACTGAGATCAGTTTGTTGTTTCAGTCGATATGCTCAAACGTTTTGGATGCAACATCCCTCCGTAGACTAGAAGAGTCTGTTCCCATGCTGGTGTGTAATTTGGAAAAGATAATGCCTCCATCATTTTTCGATGGAATGGAACATCTTGTAATACATCTTCCGTAGGAGGTTTTAAATGGTGGACCCGTCTTCTATCGCTGGATGTACAGATTTGAAAGGTTAGTCACAATTTCATTTATCTTTGAATATTTATTTCATAACAACATTAATCTGTGTACCACTTTTATTTTACTTTGCAGATTTTTTGGAGAGTTGAAAAAAGAAAGTGACCAACAAGGCACACGTTGAGGCTTCAATTTGTCAAGCATATCTTCAACAAGAAATCTCAACGTTCTCATCTTTTTATTTTGAGCGTGAAGTCATCACTAGAAGAAAGAGACCTGGCCGAAACGATGACATTGGCGAGGATTTATATGAAAATGTAGTTTCCATTTTCAATTACCCAGATAGAGGTAAAGGAGCTTGGACAAACCGATACATCGTGGGAAAAGAATTACAAATTGCGCTTACTTATATGCTCATTAATTGTCCAGAAATCTTACCGTTTTATTAGTAAGTTAAATTTGTAGTTATCTTTGTAATATATATACAATTAAGGTAGTTGATTTATAATATTTTCATGTTTGACTTCACAGTGAATTTAGAAAACTGTTTATAAAAAACTGTTTATAAAAAACTGCTTTTATATAAAATGTTTTTTATAAATTTAAATACGAAAACCTATTTAAGATTTCAACCAAAATTCAATTCGATCTTCTATTATATTTACACTATTATTTGAAAATGTAAATTAATACTACTCATTAATCAATTATTTTAGATGAGCAATGAACAATCGACCTCCCGTGCTCGCCCGAACTATGCTCCCTTAACCCAAGCCGAGCGCAACAATGAAGATTCGGAATGGGTGACACCTCACATGGTTGCTAAGTAACTATGAACTTTATCTAATGTCAAATAATCTAACCAAATGGATATAAAAAAATATCATTAATTTTTTGAAGCGATCAAGATGTACTCAACCAAATCAAAATCATAATTGGTAGACACTTTCTTGACAACTGGGCTACGTACCCGGATGTTGACCCCAAGGTCCGTGAACTTTGGTGGAACTTGTTCAAGGTAAAAAAATGAATTTTTCGTTATTGATGTAACCTAAAATTTGACCAATGATAAGTTAATTTATTTTTTTAATAAAGGCGCGGTTTCGCTGGACTGAAGAACAAGGCCCGCTATTCTAAGGGCGTACAATGCCAGAGTTTCAAACTGGCTTCGTTCCACTTTTAAGCGTGCCCGAGCCAGTGGGGTAAGGCCTCAATGGTGTTCGGATGAGGTATGGGAAAACCTCGTCCGCCACTGGTCTTCGGATCCGACTTTCTTGGCTAGAAGTGAAGCCGGGAAGAAAAATCGGATGTCCGAGAAGGCATTGACGACACAATGGCACGGAGGCCGCAAACCTCAGAGTAAACATAAACAAAGCTCTTGTAAGCCTTATTCAAATAAACCTTACACCATTTTAACCCTTTATTTTTTTTACATTTGTTTAAACCTTTTTCGAACTTTGTAGGCGGGGCCTCAAAAGAAGAGGATCTCTATCCTCAAGGTCATCAAACACTGTTGGACGAAGAACGGTGATGAGTCGGAAGCCAATCTACCACCCCGCTTTGCTGAAATCGAAGTATGCAACATCAATATTATTATTTCAAATCGAAGTAAATATCATTTGAATAATTTTTTTAAATGTTTGTAGACAAAGTATAACACAAATGTTGAAAAGAAGCGGGCGGAACTAGGCTTGACTCAAGAAGATGACATCGATTCTGATGTGGAAGATGATGCGATCCTTGAGGCAGCTGGGGTGTACAAGGGTCGGCTTCCGTGCCTCGGGGCTGAGGGCCAACGTATTTTGTACGATCGCAGCGGCAACGGAGCTTCATCGTCTTCTCGATCTAGGCGAAGAGAGGATCCACGCATTGCCCAATTGCAGCGAGAATTGGAGGAGCATCAACGGGCATTTGAACAGCAACGAAAGAATGATGAAGAAACAAGGGCCCGGCTGGAAGCAATGGAACGGATCCTTGCCGGATATCAGCGTCCGCATTAGCCTCTTCCTCGGCCGTACATGTTGGACGTTGAGCAGACTCCTCAGGTTCCGCACATGGGTAATATGGGTTACCACTCTAACTCCGGTTATGGTGCCATGCCTGCAATAGGGTCGACATTCGGATCTCTATCGTCTGATATGCTCGATCAGTTTCAGTCATCCAGTGGAGGCAACCGAGGAGGCAGTCGAGGAAGCAACCAAGGAAGCAACCGAGGAGACAACCGAGGCAGCAGAGGAGGTACCCGACCCTTGGACATCGTGGATGCAGAAGAGGATCATCATCGTGACTATGATGATAATGATGACGCATATGATTATGATGATTCTAATTTTTATCATAATGGAGTCCGACGTACGGGCATGTAATTACATAATATTGTTTAACATTGTATGAATTTTGTTTTTATAATTCAGTCTCTAATAACATTTTTTATGTTTAAGATTGTATGGAATTTATTTTTATTCTAATTGCTTTAAAGTAAAATTAAAATAATTTTTTATTTTTTATTTAAAATCGATTTTTTTTTAAATCAAAAACATTAGTCACGGACTAAATCCGTGACTACGTTTTAATCCAAAATAAATTCAATTTTCATTTTTTTATTTTTTTTATTTAAAATCGATTTTAAAAAAAAACAAAAAACATTAGTCACGGACCAGATCCGTGACTACGTTTTAATCCGGAATAAATTCAATTTTTTTTAAATTAAACATAGTCACGGATACATGTTCGTGACTAATTGCGGGCTTTTTTAAAAACGTTAGTCACGGACACGTCCGTGACTACCACAAAAAATAAAAAAATAAATAAATTAAACTTAGTCACGGCTCTTGTCCGTGACTAACATAAAACAAATTAAATTAAAAGTAGTCACGGATCTGGTCCGTGACTAACGTGCCGGAGGGCTAATTCCGGTCAAGATGTAGTCACGGATCGAGTTCCGTGACTAATCCGTGACTACACTTAGTCACGGCCAATGTTCCGTGACTACGTTCTAGTCACACGGAATTAGTCACGGAACTAGTCACGGACAAAATCCGTGTGACTAAATGTATTAGTCACGGATTTTTTACACTACGGTCTGTGACTAAGTCCGTGACTACAGGCAAATTTTTTTGTAGTGTATTGGTTTTGAGAAGTGGACCCGCTGTTACAGTAGGCGCACTAGGTACTCTGTGATGACATCCAACAATGATGAGTCACTGAATTCTGTAGACCGTATCCCTCGGGAGTATCCTATAGCAAAGTTGATTGATTTCTTGCGAGGCAAGATGCAGAAATGGTTTTGTGAGCATCGAGAAAATGCTGAAAAAAATAAAACTATTCTTTTTGAATATTTCTAAATGGCTAACGGAAAAATTTCTGAGTTCTGGGGCGGAGATAGTTTTTTTGGGAATAGGTGAAAGATGGAACGTGGATGGGCTGGTTGTCTGCGGCTTTTAATTGAGGTTATTTTTGTCAATCCATGCTAATTTAAGTCTTAGGAGTTTCGGTTGTCCTATTTTTGGAAATTGGGGGACTTTAGGTCCTAATTGTAAATTTTCCCCCACAATTTTAGGGCCAACCATTAGATGATGAATTGTGCCTCTCAAGTCATATATATTTCATTTTGCAACTAATCACAAGAAAAGTGGAGCATCAATGAATATCTCACAAAGATCACCGTCATCATTAGTTTTATCATCACCATTAAACTCAATGACAGTACTACTTCCTTTCGTACTTAAACGTGTTTAGCTGATTAATATGGTCAAAAGGTTAATTAATAGAGAACATTCCCTTAATAAGACATATTCCCTCCTATTTTGAGAAAGTTTAATCAAATTATTCTTTTAATAGGACCAAATAAGTCGTTCATATATGCCTATATAATTTAAAAGTTGAATGAGTTGGTGATTGAAGATCTAAGAATTTGAAGGAATTATGTTGATACGTATTATGAAATGGGAAAAAACTATTAAAGAATTAAAAAAACTAAAAAGAATTTGATAGATTAAGATATACTATCGTATTAAGCACAATTGAGTTATTTGCAGTGGCGGACCCAGAAAGTCAGAGCCACGGTGTCCCTCACTACAAAAAATTCGCCTGTAGTCACGGACTTAGTCACGGACCGTAGTGTAAAAAATCTGTGGCTAATACTTTTAGTCACGGATTTTGTCCGTGACTAATTCCACGTGACTAGAATGTAGTCACTGAACTTTGGTCGTGACTAAGTGTAGTCACGGACCGAGTCCGTGACTAATTCTTGACCGGAAATAGCCCTCCGGCGCATTAGTCACAGACCAGATCCATGACTACTTTTAATTTAAATTTTTTTATGTTAGTCACGGACCATGTGACTAAGTTTAATTTAATTTTATTTTTATTTTTTATAGTAGTCACGGACGTGTCCGTTACTAATGTTTTTTAAATAGCCCGCGATTTAAATTTTTAAAATTTGTTTTAGTCACAGACATGTATCCGTGACTATGTTTTGAAAAAAAAAATGAATTTAGAAAAGAGTTCCGGATTAAAAAATAGTCACGGATTTAGTCCGTGACTAATGTTTTTGTTTTTTTTTTTTTAAATCGATTTTAAAGAAAATAAAAAATTATTTTAGTTTTACTTTAAAACAATTAGAAAAAAAAACAAAATCCATACAATGTTAAACATAAAAAATGTTATTAGAGACTGAATTATAAAAACAAAATTCATACAATGTTAAACAATATTACATGCCCGCACGGCCGCACGTCGGACTCCATTATGATAAAAATTAGAATCATCATAATCATATGCATCATCATTATCATCATAATCACGATGATGATCCTCTTCAGCATCCACGGTGTCTAAGGGTCGGGTACCTCCTCGACTGCCTCGGCTGCCTCCTCGGTTGCCTCCTCGGTTGCCTCCTCGGTTGCTTCCTCGGTTGCTTCCTCGGTTGCTTCCTCCGGATGATTGAAACTGATTGAAAATATCAGACGACAGAGATCCAAATGTCGAACCCATTGCAGGCATCCACGGTGTCTAAGGGTCGGGTACCTCCTCCAAAATTAGAATCATCATAATCATATGCATCATCATTATCATCATAATCACGATGATGATCCTCTTCAGCATCCACGGTGTCTAAGGGTCGGGTACCTCCTCGACTGCCTCGGCTGCCTCCTCGGTTGCCTCCTCGGTTGCTTCCTCGGTTGCTTCCTCGGCTGCCTCCACCGGATGATTGAAACTGATTGAGAATATCAGACGACAGAGATCCAAATGTCGAACCCATTGCAGGCATGGCACCATATCCGGAGTTAGAGTGATAACCCATATGACCCATGTGCGGAACCTGAGGAGTCTGCTCAACGTGCAACATGTACGGTCGAGGAAGAGGCTGAGGCGAAGGCTGATATCCGGCAACGATCCGTTCCATTGCTTCCAGCCGGGCCCTTGTTTCTTCATCATCCTTCCGTTGCTGTTCGAATGCCCGCTGCTGCTCCTCCAATTCTCGTTGCAATTGGGCGATGCGTGGATCCTCTCCCCGCCTAGATCGAGAAGATGATGAAGTTCCGCTGCCGCTGCGATCGTACAAAATACGATTTTTTAACTATAGTCACGGACGTAGTCACGGCCAAATCCGTGACTATTTTTTTTTAAACGTTCTGTGACTAAACTGTGATTAGAACTGTGACTAACTAGTCACGGACCAAATCCGTGACTACGGTCCGTGACTACAAGCGAATTTTTTTGTAGTGATAGCACTCAAATAAGGACGAATACCAGCATCTTCAGAATCTAGTAAAGCAAAATACTCTTCAAGTTCAGCAGGAGAGGCAGCCCTGGCTGCCTCGTTAAACTTCCATGACAACCCATCAAAACCTTTAAACTTTGTTATAATGTTCCCTAAAATGTGTTGAACACAGTATCCATGCTCAGCGTGTGAAAAAACTACCCTTGCTGCATGGATAATCCCCTCATGACGATCTCAGACAATAAATAAGTCATCTCTATGAGCAAGAGTTTCCTTGAGTATCTTAAAAAACCAAAGCCACATGTCTTTTCGTTCAGTGTCACACACACCAAACGCAGACGAGAAGATCTGGTCATTAGCATCTTGAGCGCATGCTGTTAATAATGTGCCGTTATAATAAGACTTCATGAAAGAACCATCAATAATAAAGACTGGAACACAGTGTTTCCAGCCTTGAAACCATGGATGTAATGACATAAAAAAAATACTTAAAGCGATCACGATCATCAATAATAAGTGAGATCTTTGAGCCTGGATTTTTTGCTCTAGAACATGCGCTATGGATGGCATAAGCTGGTAAGACTCCTCATCTGACCCCATTAATTTTTTCCGAGCCTTTTTGTTCGCATTCCATGCTTTTTTGTAAGGAAGCATCACACCATAATCTCTATTCATGTCCACAATAATGTCAATGGGAGCATACAGTTTTCGAGATGCATCTTTGTATCGGTGTTTAATAAGTTCTGCAATAACATCATATGTCGCTTGACGATGCCTACCTTGCCAAAAATCAATGGAACATGTATGATCAGAATCAAACATGCAAAACGTTAAATGAAATTAAATAGACAATAAGTAGACAATAACGAATCTATAAAGGAAAAATACAAATACAGAAAACAAATACCTTTTAATTTGGAACATGTTACTTCCAGACAACTTCACTCCACGAACAGCCCACTTACAATGCTCAACATCAACACAAATAACATGCAATACTTTCTTGGTTGACATTTTGGTCTTATATCGAAAATGGTTTGAAATGGCATAAACCTTTAAGGGAAAAGTACGGAAAAGGTACTTGTGGTTGGTGCCGTTTTCATATAGGGTCATGTGTTTCATTCTTTATTAAAGTAGTTCATGTGTTTGAATTCCGTTATCACAAGAGGGTCACGCTGTTAAAAACGTCTGAAAAAGACCGTTAAAAGTAACTCCGATTTTCAAAAGTGCCCGAAAAAGTAAAAGAAAAATACCGAAAGGTTTGCCTCGTCAAGATGACCTCCAAACCACCTTCGCCTTTGAATTTTTCAGATCCGTTTGAATGATTTTTTAAAATTGATTTCGCTAGTATCACTTTTCCGATGGACTTTCTGGTGATAAGGGTGGCTGAAAAAAAAAAAGAAAGATGGCCTAGCGGTCGTCTTATTGAGGCACACCTTCCGGTATTTTTCTTTTAATTTTCGGGCACTTTTGAAAATCAAAGTTACTTTTAACGGGGTTTTTCAGGCGTTTTTAACGGCGTGACCCTCTTGTGATAACGGAATTTAAACACATGAACCACTTTGATAAAGAATGAAACACATGACCCTATCTGAAAACGGGCTCAACCACAAGTACCTTTTCCGTACTTTTCCCAACCTTTAAATGAAAATCTAAAGCCTTTTTAGTTTTGTATATGGAATCTATGGCTATATGAGTTGGATGGAAATGAGAAATAACTTCAAAATCAGGAACCACAAAAAGTGAATCCAAACTAACAGTTTGACTTGATGTAGTATCACCAGAACTCGTAGAAACTATTAAATCAAGTTCCAAAGGATCAAAAGGACAAGCTGAATTTGAGACTTCAATAGAAAATGAATGTGTATCTTCAAAAGGCATGGACTGATTAAAAGCAGTGGACACATTGAAATCAAGTGATGCAGACGCAGCTGTTAGGAAATTGATGTAACGTACCTCGAAAGTACAGCAGCGGAAGTTTAAAATTTTCCCAAACAGATTTTCCCTGATTATGACACAATAACGAATATGATAATAATAACAGATCTGAGTTAGAACTTACAGATCTTCCAGCCTAACGGTGATAATCTTGGACCTTAGGTATCCACGTGATTTCTCCTCTTCGAAAGAACGGTTAGATCTCCCTAAGAGAAAGGCTAGGAAATCTCTTCGCAGGGAAATAAACTGGTAATACTGAATCTGAAAACTGGTCTGTGAATTATGAAGGAGGAGGGTGTATTTATACTAGTTCTAAACTAGTTTCCTAATCACAACCAAAGTCTTACTCATTAATGAGTTATAGTCCTACCAGGACCAATACATCATTATTAATTAAATAAGTTGCATAAAACATAATAATAATAATAATAATAATAATAATAATAACAACAACAACAATAGAGAAGTAGTTGCACGCCACTCTCTATATGTTACTATGTATTTATTATTATTTAGTTTATTTTATTTTCCCTTTTAATTCCAAATCAATAAAATAAAACACCAACTTTATTTAATAATAAATACACCTTAATTAGGTATAATAAATCTAATTTATCACACTTAATATATTCTATCAAATAGAACTCTCCTTCAACATCATGAATTAAATATAGTTTAATCTAACTAATATTTAATCCATTTCAGTATTACAAATTAAATATTATTTAATCCAATTAATATTTAATTCCTTCTAACAATTCAATCGAAAGGTATAATCACTTGTTGTGTGACCCATAGGGCCTTATATATTAAGCACTAATCAAATTAAGGTCTTGGCATAATCCCTAGACGATTTACCAGACAATCTTAATATATAAGGACGTTTGCGAGGACTATTCAAACTCCCTGTAATATAGAGCTCATAGTGATACGGTCCTTTCATTCAGAGAACATTCAACTAAGTCTAGAACATGATGTTGTGTCTATCCCAATAACTCAGTCTCTGTCTCTCAATCTTTCTAGATGATCCATAATGATCATATTCGATATCCAAAACGAATATATCTTTGCATTGGCCAATGACTTTATGATCCATCTAGATATGAGAAGTAGAATGTTCTCTCTTAATCTATTATGAGGAATGAATCCTTTCCTGGCTCAACTACTACTCCATGTGCTTCATGATGCACCCAACACATGCCGTATCTACCCCGATTGGAGTGCAAGCGTTGGTCATGGTCAAAGTACATCACTCCGCACATGTAGACATGTAGTACGTATTGACCTCAAGTCGGAGGACTATTACACTACTCTATACGCCGATAATCCCATAGACACATGAATAGAACTTATCAAATGGTTTCTCGGTGGGTATGTCAATATTCTCTAAAATATCTATGTGACCATCATGAATTACAGGAACTCATAGTCGTGAGATCAACTATACTTTCTAAAAGTATGATGCAGTCCACATACCAATCTTATCGCATATCATCAATATCCCATTCTTGATGATCATTGATTGGGGCTATTTTAGGACCTTATGTTATATCATATAAGCTCCCACTTACTTATTGACAACATAAGTCCAAGAGAACACAATTATGAATAAGATATTGACAATCGAAATACTTAATCATCAATGTGTAATACCGTATATATCAAATATATAAAACTGAATGTGATCAAGTACATATATCTCTAAAAAGTGATTGTCGCTAGGACATATATACTAACAATCTCCCACTTGGCCTAGTGTCAATCACCGATGCGTCTAACACCTAGACTCTCAAAAGCCTACAATGTGTCTCGCATCTCAAAGGTTTGGTGAATGAGCCTGCCAAATTGTCCTCTACGGGAAGGCATTCTATTGCAACTTCTCATCTTGATATTCGTTATCAAAACATGATAGCATCCTGGTATTTTCTAGTTCCTTACTTTGCATCTTGGTTCCTTAGCTTGTGCAAATGTACCGGTACAGTCAGAATAATAATTATTGGATAACTGTCGCTGAGAACTACCCCTATTTCTTTAAGGAACTAACGTATCTAAACGCTTACCTATGTTGCATCAAATGCAACAATTTACTAGGCTCTAGTTGTCGAATTTACAATAGTTTCTTACTTGCAACTATTGCAACATTACTATTACATTGAGACTAAAAACATATACTGACTCTGACTCGTAGTCTTTCTTATCATACATGAAACTAGTGCTAGAATAATTAAATTCTACTAGTTCTTTCTATCTACCATTGACAAAAGATATTAATGAAGATTTTGGGTGACCATTCTTTCACGGACTTCAATGAGGAGATATCATTCTCTATGATCAACATATATGATTATAAAGACCACGCTATCCTTGTTGCGCACTCTAAACACGCAAGCACACTCATTTCATTTGATGAGGTCAAATGATTTGACTATTTTATCAAAATTAATATTTCAACTCCTAGAGGCTTATTTTAACCCATAAATAGATTTCTCCAATTAACATATTGAATTAGTATTTGACTTGGATAAAAAAAACTTCAGGTTGTACCATGTACACCTCCTCCTCGAGGTTTCCATTAAGGAAAGGGGTTTTGACATCCATTTGTCAAATCTCATAATCATATTATGCAGCTTTTTATATTTATATATAAGAGAAATTTTATTGATAATAGGAAAGATAGTACAATGCGGTAAAGTAAAACACAAAAAACAGTACAGAATGGAAAAGAACAAGGAAACTAATAAATTATCTAATCCCAGGGGAAGTCTCTTGTTTGAGATCTTGTTCTCATGGAATGCCGCCTTTTGTTCTCATATTATGCAGCTATAACAAGCAAAATCCAAATGGAATTCAGTTTTGCAACTGGCGAACAGGTATCACTATAGTCAATTCCTTTTCTTTGACTATAACCTTTATCCTCTAGCCTAGCTTTGTATGTTTGCACCTTGCCTTCAGCATTAATTTTCTTCTTGAAAATCATTTGCATCCAATGGGTCCAACCCCAACAGGCAAGTGAACCAAGTTCCATACTTGATTGATATACATCAAGTCCATTTTGGATTTCATGGCATCTCGCCACCTCTCAAAATCAATGTCTAGTATTGCTTTAGTGTAGGTCTTAGGTTCATCCTCATCGGGAATCTCAACATCATCATGATCCTCAATGAGGAAGTCAAACCTAGTTAGTTCATGACAAATCCTTATAGACCCACAGAGTTGAATTTTTGCATCTTGTTAAGACTGTTCATTCTGATCGTGAAGGGGTTCTTTTTCATTGGACTATTCAATGCCCTAGAGAGTTTTCTGGTACTATACTCAGAGAGGGAGAGTTAGATGCAAAAGGAATGACAACCATGTCATTACTTTCTTCATAAGAATCACTTGCTGGTGCGAAGCACTTCCTATATTACTCCCACTAGCTGAAGGATATCCTCCTAGAGGCATTCTTCAACTTAATTCTCCCACTGAATCCTTCGTCAGACCATCTAACAAATCTTCATTCTCTATTTTACTTCAGCTTTCAATTTGAT